TATAACTCTCGTTTTTAGACCTCCTTTTGCATCCGAACTTACAGACGCATTCCGTGAGTGCTTGGTTCCCTTCGTATTGAGCCACGTACGCACCTACGACCTTCGAGATGCCAAGTCCGTGGCCACACATAGTCTAGTGCCACTCGAAAGGGCAGAGTAAGAATACTAGGAGCGTGTGGCTTCAAGGCACGATGTATGTCTACCGCAAAGTTCCTGTCATGAAGTGCTCGCGTTCACTGACATAGAGGCAGTGGGCAGATAGGTGGGGGCGGGGGTTCCCGCCAATGTAATCGGAGGGAGGGTTAATTGGGGTGTGGCCGCACGCCCTCTCGCAGCCGTTCCACCGGTGACGCCCGCAAAAACCGCCCGCCTCCAGCAATCCTTCCCATGCCCGTAAGCGTGTTGGCGACGCAGCGACGTGAGAAGGTAGAGAAACAGGAAGTTCCCAACCCTAGTGTGTACATTTCACCTGTATCACCTGTGCTCCCGTTGATCATCGAGTTCCTCGAGCGGGCGCCAGTAACGTCTCCATTCGTCCCTGCAACGTGCAAGAGTTGCCCAATGAACTCTCTCAGCTCGAGGGACACGATGAACTTCATACCATTCGTTCAGAGCTTTCACGAAGAAGTCTGACCATCGCGTAGGCGGTCGTCCAGGCGTTCGCTTGACATCCCGTGGAATCCAGTCGGTGATGCTCTGGTCCAGCGGTCGTCCTCGAAACGCATGACGTGTCCGGCCCACCTGATCTTCGAAACCTTGGCAAATGCGGCGGCGTCTCTGATCTTCGATCGTTGGCGGAGTGCGGAGCTCCGGATTCCCTCTCTCACTTGCGTGTAGCGGGAAACTCCGAGCATCGCCCTTTCGATGGCGCGTTGAATAACGCCGACCGCATGCTCATCCTGCTTTCGTAGAGTCCAAGTCTCTGAGGCGTACGTCAAGGCAGGAAGGACCGCGGAATCGAAGAGGTGGGCACGGAGCTTGGTGTTCTTCGTCTTCTTCGCTACTCCCTCGATGTTCTTGAAGGCTCCCCAAGCCGCCCGCTCAGCCATAGACCGATTCTTCCACACGCGCAGTCGAATTCAGCCAGCATTCGTTCCGCTTGCTCGATGTTTGGTGTTATCAAAACGATGTCGTCAGCAAAGCGGAGATGGTGTAGTTGCCGACCGTCGATCTTCACTCCCATGTCTTCCCATTCCAGTTGACGCATGACGTTCTCGAGAGAGGCGCTGAAGAGCTTGGGCGAGATGGTGTCGCCCTGTCGGACCCCTCTCTTCACATCGAATGATGATCTCCTTGTAGAATGGTGAGATCTTGGTCGTGAAGTTGCTGTAGAGCTCACGAAGAATCCTGATGTACTGAGTAGGAATACCCTGGTTGCCCAGGGCTTCGATAACCGCTTCTGTCTCAACGGAGTCGAAGGCTTTCTTCAAGTCGATGAACGTGAGACATAACGGCATCTTGTACTCTCGCGATACTTCATGAGCTTCGTTACCGTGTGGATGTGATCGATCGTGCTGAATCCTCTTCGAAACCCTGCTTGCTCGCATGGCTGTCCTTCGTCTAGTGTTCTGCCAATCCTGTTCAGGATGACTCGTGTGAAGAGTTTGTAGACTACAGACAGCAGGCAGATTGGGCGATAATTGCCAATGTCGTACAGGTCTCCCTTCTTGTACAGCAACACAGTCTTGCTGGTTTTCCACGAGGTGGGTACCTTGCATTCCGACAGGTAGCGCGTGAAGAGTCGAGCCAGAGTTTTGACGAGAACTGGCGGAAGATTCTTCAGATGTTCGGGTCTGATCCTGTCGGGACCGGGTGCCGTACGATTCTTCACCGACGAGATGGCGTGTCGGACTTCGGAAGAGAGAACTGCAGGAACGACATATCCATCCTGCTCCAAGCGGTATGGTTGCAGGTGGACGTGGCTGTCAAAGAGATCCGAGTAGAAGTCGTGGATGACCTTCTCCATTGCCCTTCTGGATGCGGTGATTGTTCCATCCGGACGTCGGAGGGCGGTCATCTTGGTCTTACAGTTGGCGAAGTCGCGGCGGGCGTTGCGTATGCTCTTCCCAGCCTCTGCGGCTTCCACCAGTACTGCTGCTCTTCTCTCCTTGAGGTCTTCCTTTATCGCTTCTCTGCATAGCTTCGCAAGCTCAGACGTCAGCTGGTAATTGCCTGCGGCTCGTGCGGCTCCACGTTGGCGAATCAGCTCGAGAGTTTCCAGAGATAGACGCTTCTTGGTAATCTTGGAACCCTCTGACTTCTTGGCGCAGTCGTGAAGATGTGCAACAAGCCGTTCGTATTCCTCGTCGATGTTGTCGATGACAGAATCCTCCCAGAGCCCAGCGAGAGAAGTGAAGTGATCCCAGTTGATGAAGGTCTTGGGGCTTCGCTTCTTGAACTTTGCGGCTCTCTCTCCTCGCATCGAAAAGCGGAATCTTGCGCGAAGGAGACGATGGTCGGATCCCGTGTAGAACTTAGGGACAACAGCGACATCGGTCAGGCAAAACCTTCGATTGCAGATGATGTGGTCGATCTCGTTATGGAATTGTCCACCAGGAGACTCCCATGTCCAGCGTAGAGAGTAGGGCTTCTGGAACTGCGAGTTACCATGGATGGTATGGGTCGACATGATAAACTCAGACAGCCTTTCACCCTGCTCATTCCACTCCGTAGTTCCGATGTGAAGTTCTTCAGCCGTTCTTCTTGGTCCGATCTTAGCGTTGAAATCACCGACGATGACCTTGAAGAAGGTATGATCTTCCTTGTAGAACTTCTCCAATTCCATATAGAACGCTTCGAGCTCATCCTCGTCGTAGCTTGATGTTGGTGCGTAGGCGACGAAGATTGTCAAAGCTGGAGTTGAACCACATCTTCTCAATCGCAAACGTCCGATTCGGGTCGTCAGACTTTCGTACGAATCGATGTTCATGGCCAAGTGCGTGTTGACGAGGACGCCCACACCGCCAACGCCTCTGCTGTCGCATGTTCCGAGGAACAGTTCTTCTCCAGTCTCGTATACGGCGTGTAGCGGGCGATGCCTATTCGTCTCGCCTCGATGTGAGCTTCCGATGCAAGCGTCCGTGCGTTGAAAGTACAGATCGTCATCCTAGTCCTGGGCGACTTAAATCTCCGTTGGCCTCTGACAAGGGAACCCCAACAGGTCGATCCGGCCGTTTGCAATGAGATGTACACATGTGGACGTGTCTTGAGCCGCTGAATCCAAATCTACCCTCCGTTTTTGCGGAACGATTCTCTGAACGGAGTTATGGGGCTTTTTCCACCGCATTTACCACGCAACAGGTCGTGGGATCGAATCCCTGCTGGGCTTAACTTTTTTGCTTCCTGCGCAAACGTGGCAAAATGTGGTTTTGCTTTCACTACTACTTCAGTGCTCACCTAATCTTGCCTGAAGAAAACTTTGCGTCCATTTATGAATGCGCCTAGGCACCTTGTAGAAGCCTTGTAGTGCAGGAAAATATTGGGGTGCACAGGTGCCCGTCGTGCGCGATACAGGCGTTTTCACGCTCAGCGAGTGCCATATTCGTGTTCAGCGGGTCAAAATACCTTTATACACAAGTTGCTAGCCAAATCTGGCATTTTGACCTGATTTCCATAATTGAACCATCCATGGGTTAGTTCAGCTGATGTTCACACCTATTCAGCTGCAGATACATTTGCCTGCACAACGCCTTGTCTTGCACCTTCTTACGCATTCATTTTGTTACTGCTCCAGTTTTCCTGGTATATAGAAGAAAATTCCGGCCAAAGACAGGCAATCGACAAGAGACTGGCCCTGGAACTAGTGGTGACCACCATCGGATCAACTGCTACCGGACTTTTGAAGATAGGTCAAGACCTCATATCTGGCTAGAAACCTGTCCCCAAGGGTAATTTTGCTCCCTGAACACGAATATGGCACCCATTTGACGTTTGAATGCATTCTAGACTTAAAAGAGACATTCCCCACAGAATTTAAATGCAACTCCGTTCAGAGAATCGTTCTGCAAATTTCGAAGGCAGATTCGAGATCAGCGTCCAAAACCACGTCTAGTGAACTATATTTCATTACGAATGGCCACTTGGACCTGACGACCTTCCCTAGTAGTAGTGGCGACCTTCTCCATTCCTCGATGCGAGCTCTAGAAACGGTCATTCTCATTGGAGTTCTCATTCAAGTTTTCAGAAGGTGTAACAGATGGAGCAATGATCGCTTCTATTGTCAAATAATCAGAGATTCAAGTCAACTGGCCAAACAGAAGTGTTCTGGGGACTCGTATGGAATGTTCTGAACAAAAGCAAAAATGTTCGGAGTGTCAAGGATTCCAACATGCGACATCGTGTTCCTGAATCAGTGCACTTATCCACTAGGCCATCGGCGACCTGCCGTGAGCAACCATCCCTCTCAACTTATACAACGAGCAAAGATTTGATGGTCCGTAACTCCGTTCAGAGAATCGTTCCGCAAAAACGGAGAGTAGATTTGGATTCAGCGGCTCGAGATACGTCCATATACCTACTTCTCATTGCAAATGGCCGGGTCGACCTGTTGGGGTTCCCTTGTGAGTTTAGCAGCCTCGCCCGAGCGGTCCCAGCCGACGTCGCCCTGTCGGTGGTTCCCTCAGCTTCAGGGGAATGAGGCCCATAGTTGTTACTGTTTTCGGCGAGAAAAAATTAACCACGCGTAGCTCGCCAGGCTCTGACGTGGCACCCTCCGCATTGGTACGTTTTTGGAACAGTCCAAAACCGTTCACCCCCACGCCACGATGAGGCTGCGGATAGGATTTGTGGCGTGTACATTTATGCCTCTTTACTGCCCTGTCCACTCGGAACTAGGCCTTTTCGACGCGTTTTCTACGCCTTTTTTCTGCTTTCTTCATACCTGATGAGTCAACTATTAGGTTGTTGCATAAGTTCTTATACACGTGTTTGATCCTCTCCTATTTCGTTCGCATGGATGTTGGTATTACGTCATCACGTGTGCGTGACGTGTACATTATACTCTTTCATTACACTAGCTATCACTCACCGAGCTTGCATTTGCAGTACACAATGTCGCACAATTTGCACTGTGACAGAATGTACCTGCGCCACTGCCTGGTTTTGCTTAACGATTCACAAAAGAAGCTTCGCGTTCTCAACTCGATGATCACTGGAGATGAGAAGTGGGTCCTCTACGATAACCCTGTGAGGGAGCAGGAGTGGGTCGACAAAGGAGAACAGCCAGAAGCCACCTCAAAGGCCGACCTTCACACCAAAATGGTTCCCCTGTTCTGTTGGTGGTCCAGAAGAGGCATGGAGCTGGAGCTGCTGGAGAAGGGACAGACGATTGACGCTTCCACATACGTGACCCAGCTGCGGAAATTGAAAGATCACGTCGACCGTACTCGTGGAAGGAATGCGGAAATCTACTTCCACCATGACAACGCCCGACCTCACACTGCAAAGGCGACCCAGGCCGAGCTGGAGAAGTACGGATGGCTGATGGTCGCCCACCCTCCCTACAGCCCTGACCTCGCTCCTTCTGACTACTGGCTGTTCAGCCACCTGCAGCGCTATCTGGACGGAAAAAAGTTCGAAACAAAGGATCAGGTCAGAAAGGCACTCGACGACTTCTTCAAGTCCCAGCCCCCGTCGTTCTGGAAGGAAGGAATCGACAAGCTGCCTGAGCGCTGGCGTCGAGTAGTGGATGGTGATGGTGCATACCTCTAATCTTCAGGTTGGTTCGCTATTGAGATATTTACGAAAAAAGTCGTGTATAAGAACTTATGCGACAACCTAATAGTATAGACAAAAAATCGTATTTGGCCCCACTCTCCACCACTTGCAATCGCAGAATGTTCCTTCAAAATTTCAGAGTACGCTACTCATCGTAATCAGACGCAGTAACACCAAAAACACACGAAACTGCGAGGTAAATTCGCATTTGTGTGCAGATAATTGATAACCACACACGATAACTTACTTGTGTAATTCTACAAGAGCCTTCTCGTGTATGGAACGGTGTACAGGACGTGGCGCATCTACAAGGGCATCATTGATACCTGCAACACCTTAGAATAACTCATGTCCAGTAACGGCTGATCAGTTATTAACTACTTGGAGGAAGTGGGCGGCGCTCATGGAATAATGGATATAGGGCGTGCGGTTGTTCGTCGGTCGTCTTTTCAACCACTTCCACAACTTCTTTCGGCCTTTAAAGTCTAACAGTAATGATGAAAACGATGAAAACTCAAGTGGTTTGTGATAGACTTATCTGCTTTCTAACTTTCAGCTCCTCGGAAATATCGTTGATGCGTTGGAACAATTTCACTCCGCCATCTGGTAAAGTGAGTGGACGACTGCTCAAAGTCTAAAGAAATAATGGACTTAGGGAGTAGAGAAATCTACAAAATAGGTCTTAAATTGTACTGAAGATAGCTTACGTTTAGGTTAGCAAGTTTATTTTCAAGAGCACCAGTCGTGTCAAGAGGGAACTTCGACACTGTTTTGATCACCTACAACATGTTGAGAGATCTTTAGCATTTCATTCATCATGTTGAGATCTTTAGAATTCCATTCATCAAAGTCTACTAGGGTATTCCGGCAAAAAGAGTAATGGTAATATCCAAGGTGTTGTCTTGCGGAAATGGCACACCGGAATGCCCTCTGCTGAGTTTGAAATCTCGTTAGAGTGACTGCTCAATTCGCGTCAGCTTTTGAGCGACTAGGAAAGTATAGGTATCGATCGGATCTGATGAGCGTCCCTCAGAACGCTAGATCAGAGACAAATCCCGAGATGGCTTATTGTGAATAGTGGCGTTCGTACCGAACCTTTGGTCGCCAGGTGACTCTCCAGGGAAGAAAAAGAAAAAAAAAACATGGGGAACCCCATAAGAACCACCTGGCAGCCTCACGGCACGAATTGTCCCCTTCTGCTCGTACTATGCTCACTAAGCGATATCCTGCCTTCACCAACAGTTTTTTTAGCGTCAACCAGTGCTACATCTAACAGTGGAAGTAAACGAAAACCGCGGCGCAAACACTGAACTCGTTACAGAAAATAACCCTTGAGTCTTGGTGGGCGGGGGAACTAGGGAGGCGTCTGAACTGCCACTTCAGGGGTCCGCAACGGATTCGCTACTTACTGTGAAGCCGCGAAAGTGGGACAGTTTTGGAAACTGAGGGTAAGGCTACTTGAATAAAGAAGGACGCCTACGAGTTGCTTCTGTGAGAAGGCTGTCTTTAATACCAACCCTTTCTAGTCGCTCAAAAACGGCGCTCAGCTGGTGTACGCAGGAAACGCTGGATCGATTCTCATGTTTTCGGCTGCTCAAAACTTTGCCGTGCGCTAAAAACGCTGATGCAAACTATGAACGTACTAATTTTGATACCTTAACTTCATCTGGCGAGTACGATCTCACATAACCAGGTGAAGTTTCCTCAATCAAATCACCAGCACCACCATCCGCTTCCCCTTCCTCAGACGAGGAGTCAATCGTGATAACATCCGGCTCTGCATCACCAAGTGAGTGACTCTTTCTGCTCGTGCCAGGTTCTTTTCCGAGGTCGTTGCTATCGTAGAGAACCACAATTTCATCGTCCTCTGGATATGGATCCGCAGCCACAACTGACTCTTCCACGACGTCCTCATCTGATTGATTAGAAACGAGTTCTCGAAGATCGTCCTGTTCGTGTCCAAGAGTTGAAAACGGGACTACGTGCCGAGGAACCTGAACGTCACCTCAATATTTCAAGCGAGTAGCTTACTGGACGGAATTTGTAAGATAAATAAGTAAGAGTGCTTTTGGATAAGTCAAAAATACCAGAAATAAGAAATAACCCGAATACTAAACAAGCATCCATGTTAAAGACACGTTCTGCAATTGAGAGCAGCGTAGAGCGCGGGGTCCAAACGCAAAGGAACTCGTGATTGCTGGTCGAAATAACAAACCAAAAGAGCAGAAGAAACCGCAATGAAAAGTTATGAATAAGCTCCGGCCGATTTTCAGCATTGGACGAAAATGCAAGGAGCAGAGATTCGGAGATGCTCAGCGAGCAACTAGGCAACGGTCGATACGCCACGCAGCAGTCGTACTTTCGTGGGCGTCTGCATCTGGTATGGGCGGAGTTTCAGGCCAACACAAACCCCTGGTGGCCCTGTTACTCACTTCGAGCGGCAAAAGTATCACACACTACGTGGCTTCAGATCCTGTGCTCCTTATATGCAGAGAAGGCTGCGCTTCAGATAATCGTGTTTAAAAAAGCTGTCCCACTTCGTGATCTAATACCAAGTACCACAGTGTGTTACAGACTACAGACAAGCATACATCCTGTTCGCTGACGGGGCGCGTCAATGGGGGACGGGTTTGGCGAGGAGCCAGCCCGTTTTTTTCCGCAAGCGACACGACTGTATCATATGCTTCAAATCAGTTATTCTCCATCGATTGTTGCTTACCCACTTCAACAACTGGTCGAAAACGTGATGGCCGTGCGCCAAACCCAGCCTTATTGGCACGCCCCCCGATTCACAACGAACAACACGATGAGTGGATGAGAAACAAATTGTTGTGAGAATAAATAATTGCAATCAAACGTTATGTTTAGTGCAAAGAAATGGCTAACCGCATCGTTTCGCGACTTTGATACCATCTTTCGTAACACACGATCACGTAGTTTTCCTTTCAAATTGGGATCAGTCGACAATCGTACGGAAAACGGAGATAATGGCTCTTAAAAAGAACATCTTACAAGTCATTCCAAGACATCGCAGCTTTTTGAAATGCATATACTGCACCGCGATCACGAAAGGTTCAAAAGACCCCAAAAGAGTAATAATACCCCGGAGCTAATTTCAGAATTCGTGCAAAAACAACCTATTGCGAAACGCAGCCGATATTTCGCAATTGCTCTTTACACCAATGGCTGCGTTGCCGATATGCAGCAGATATTTCGCAATAGGTATTTCGCAGTTGCTCTTTACAACAACATTTTAGGCCACCAGAAAAAGGTGCTATGCCCCATATATACGAAATATTATAATATTTATGGCTTCCTTTAAGTTTTTTGTTTCTTCTGAATAAACTTCTAGAACCCTGCGTTGTGTAACGCTGAAATCCCTATAACTGGTATAAGTACTTAAAATGGAATACACAGTCACAAACTGACCGACTGGATCGGTTCTTCCAATGAAAGATCGACTCCGATCCGCACCATGCCCTTCAAAATAGGGATATTATTGTGAAACAAGTGGAAATGCATTTAAAAAATATACCATAAGGTGAGCCATCATCCATTGCGAGCGTAGCCAGCGATTCTGACAATGATGGCTTCTGAACAGACGTGACGGTGAATATTGTAAATATGAATAAACCACCTATACTTACTCGCTGAGGAATAGTCGATATTGGAGTCGACGTGAAAGGGAGTGATCGTTTTCCCTACAGAAAAAAGGTTAGTTAGAGTCAGGCATGCAAAAAAAAACAAGTACTTTATAGTTCAATTTCCATAGTACCAAATTCAAGAAAGTTTATTATAGTGTAGTTCGCTGCGGACGGTTGGGCGTGTCAGTGCGGCTGCGTTTGGCGCGGTGCCAAACCCGTTCTCCACCAGTTGTTAAAGCGAGCAAATGATATGACTGTATCATATCGTCGTATTACTCGTTTTCTACCACTTTTTGTCGCATGCGCGCTTCAACAAGAAGGCAGAGAACGGCCTTGACGCTGTGCACACTCATACTGGCTGACACGCCCAACCGTCCGCAGCGAAGTAGAGTGTACTACACTATTCATTCCGTGGATAGAGAGGGTGTCGCTGTGTACTTTATTTGAACATGGTGCAACATTCCTTTTTTTCGATGGACATTTCCTTATGCGACAAATGTCAACCTGGGCAAGGACATGTTCACAGTCGTGACTACGGCAATATCCACTAGAATCGCAGAAGAAGCCGCAT